GAGCAACTGGAGCTGCACTGACTTTTACAAGCAGAGATAAAACAGTCACCAAAAGCAGGGGGTTGAGAGAGAGAGAGAGAGAGGGGGGAGAAACCAAATCTGCAACAGAAAATCTGCAAGCCACTTTGTATCCTGCTAATTTGAGTGGGTCCTGCCCTGATCTCATTTGCATGGGCATAAACCATTTGTAGCTATTGAGGTACATGGAGGACCCATCAATGTTCTGAAGAAGTGCTCCATTGCTTTCAGAAATAAAGGCTGCTTTTTCCATCTTCCAATCTAAATCAGATCAGAGGCCCAGTAATTAGGCTCCTATCTAGTGATTTATAGCTCTATCTGATATTGCAGGGCAAAAGCAACAGATTATTTGTTCTTCTTGAGATAAAATCTGTAGGGCTGGAGTGGGGATTGCACACTGAGGCCTCAGCAGCAAGCAGAGAAAGCAGACCTGGCAAAGCTCCTGGCATTTTTCATGGGCTGTCAAAGGCTTTTGGGTTCGCATGCGGAGAGCTCTGGGGCTTGAGGCAACAAAGATTGTGGCAGGGCTCAAGCAGCCTGGTGTGAAGGAGCAGGGATGGGACAGGGAAGCACTTCAGCCCAGCCTGGAACAAATCCCCTTCCCTGGCTCCCTTGCCTCTTGCTCCAAGCACACACAGTGTTGTCGAAAGGCCCTGAGAGATTGTCTGCTGAAAACAAGTTGTGGTTGAGCTGCTCTTGTGACGGCCCACCAAGAGCTGCCTTGGAGGATGGGGTGATGATTTGGGACATGCTTGCTGAAATATGCTGTTGTGACCCTGGGCTTAAAATAACATCTGGGACAGTGTGAAGCTTAGCTGTGGAAGCCAGTGCAGGAGGGATGCAGGAGGGCCCAAACAGCTCCTGCCCTCTGGTTCTGTGCTCACTCTGGGGTGTCCCACACTAGGCAAGGCACTGCCCTGGAGCCCAGGCTGGTCACATGCTTTTGCAGCTGAAGGGTTGGAAAGCACTGAAAATGAACATTTCCCCCTCCTCCACCTTCTCATCTAGCCTTGCATAATTTCCCCTTTAGCCTCCCTAGACAGGTTCATTACAATTCCCATCCATTAATATGTAAATATGCCCTAGAGGAAAAGACAGCCTGAATTTATTAACATGAATCTTTTAACTCTTTCACTGCTGCACTTCCCTCTGTGGACAGGAGGGTGCATTCCCCAGCCTGGAAAGCTGTGAGGAAGGGAGATTGCATGAAAGGAGAACTCTAAGGTTCTCCAAGAGGATAGAAGAGAACCATGCCCCTGTGGCACTCCAGGAGGGTTGGGTTTTGTCAGTAAGTGCAGAATTGCAAGTTGCTGAGACCTTAATTCTGCCTTTCATTTCTGCCAAAGGCTTCCTGCACGTGTCAGGGCAAACCACTCAACCCTTTGGCCAGCCCCTGGGAGCAGCCAGGGAAAGGTGGCAGCATCCTTATGCTGCAGCTTCTGTCACATGCCAGGAGTAGTGAGGATGTAGCTCTGAGCTCTGTACCTCTGTGCATCCACAGCTGCACTGGCTGACCAGGAGCATGGAAGGAGTCAAGCTCTTGGGAAAACTCCAGCATAACAACGTCCTGGCAGGTGTTCCTGCCCAGTGGCACAGAGGCAGGCACATCTGCCAGGGAGCTGAGACCTGCAGCCTGACACAGCACATCAGGGCTCCCTGAGTGCACACTGGGGCTGGGAGCCAGGGGAGCAGAGCCAGGAAAGCCTGGAGGAGCCTGGAGGGCTCACAGAGCCCAGCAACTTAGAGCTGCCCACAGAGAGGAACTTGCCCACCCAGAGGAACTTCTGCTTTGGCATTTCTCTGGGCAGAAAAAGCCTTTAGGTGGTCCAATGAATTGGTATCTATTGGCTGGCAAATTTACAGTCTGACTCTAATTTGGTTTTCACTGCCACAGTGAGATGAGGTGTAAATTCCTTTTTCTTAATTCAAGGTACATATTGACATTTAATCATCCAAATATGTGCCTCCTTTGACAATTCATTTCCCTTCAACCCTTTCAACAATTGCCTTTTCTGGCCAGGGCCCTATAAAAGATGATTCCTTGACTCTGCAGCAAAGGAAATGAATGTCTCTTGCTCTCTCTCTCTTTTCTTTTGGTTGTTTGTTTTCTAGTGGGATATATTTCAGTTTGCACCATACGGATGCTGTTTGACAGGAATATTAGCTTTCACACTTCTCTGGGCTTACAAAGTCAGGCATGGAGCCCTGTGGTCTCCTCCAATCCCCAATCCCCCTTTCCCCAATCCTTTCCATACGCCCTGCCCCTCCACCCCACATAGCTGTGCTGCTTCTTTTGACTTGTGGCTTCTGCCTTGCAAGCATTTTTGGTGACTCCTATCTTAAAACCTCTATAAATAAAGTTAATTAGATCTCCTCTTGGGCTAACTGCAGTGAGGGAGATCCCCCTTCTCCTCCAGCGGTGAATATCGGCCTTGACTTGGTTCATTTTGGGCACTGTCATCAATTTCTGCACATGTCTGTGAGCCAGCAGCCCCAGCACAGCACAGCTCCAGAGGTGACCAGCTGGGAGCACAGGGGTGACAATGCCCAGTATGGGTGCACAGTGGGATTCCCAGCAGATTATTTTCCAGGAAGAAAGAGCCAAGAACCTGCCACATCTAGACAGGCAGCAGGAAGGGATGAAGAGTGGGAAGAGGGTTCAGGCACATGGAAATACTTGAAAATCTCCACCAGATGCACATGCACACACATCCTTCCACACTCCACCCTGAAATAATGTCCTCCATCAGTGCTCTTGCAAACGACCAGGGACATCAGCCCAAATGCCCCTTCCTGCACCCATGACAATATTGCACTCCTCTCCCACCTCAGATCAGTTTGTCCCAGTCACATGCTGGATGAGAGAGGGAAAAATTAGGATGATAGGCCTGCCTCAAAGGACATCCAATTTTAGTGTACAAGCTGGATTGGACAGTGCAGAGGGCACTGGAGACACCAGGCTAGCTCATCCTGTGCTGGTGGCCAACATCTGCCCAAGAGGAACAAAGAAAACAACATATTTTGGCATCAGTCCTTGCCCAAAACTTTTTAAGATATTTTGACGATCCAACTTGAGTTCAAGTACTGTTGGTATGAGAGCGTAATTTTTCCATTAATTTGTAATCAAATTCTCAGTTTGAGTTTTTTGTCTCTGACAGCTTTCTCGAAAGGAAGAAAGAATGTCTCTGCTACGTCACTGGCCACCCAGAGTCTGCTTTACTTCAGCAGAAATAGGGTTTTGATGTTCTTGGGTTTGATGCAGGCTGGAATGGGAGACGATTTGCCTTCCACCCCTGTTGTATTAGGCAACAAGCTCTGGTGCATTCCTGGAGTGGGGTGTATGGCCCAAATGGCAGCTGTGTTCCCCCCCCAGCTCATCTGGCTCGGCTTGGCACGGCGCACAGAAGCCACCGGTGCAAAGATCGGGCTGACTCAGGCCGAGGGGAGAAGGCAGCAGCGGTCAGAGAGCAGAGTGTGCAGGAGGCGGGAGTGCCACCAGCTGCAGGTCCGGCACGTGTGTGCTCGGCTGGATTCCTCCCAGGCAGGCACACGCACAGCAAAGGTGTTACCCTGCCGTGCCCGGCTAAACAGCGACCGGCATGCAGGGGAGGAGGGGAAGCCAAGCTGCCTCTCCAAGTGCTGCCCTCTGCGAAAAGCAGTGGCGGGGCAGATGGGCTTGAATAACCATTGGGCCCCTAACCTTACACCCACCACATCCAGGTCCACACCGGGACAGCTGAACACCTCCAGGTCTCTGAAGCAGACTCACCTGGGACTGGCCGGCATCTGTTTGCAGGAAATGCCCTGAGCACGGTTGCTGGCACCGTGGTTTGCGACACTTCTTCTGTTTGAAAGCAGTCCCATAGGGGACTTTGGGGTGAAACGATGGCTCAGTGTTTGGGTTATGGGGAGACCCTCCTGGGACGCTCTAGGGCTGTGCGTTTACTCCTTAGGCTTTTAGTCGAAAATAGAATTCCTCTATGTGAGGAATGAAATCGAAGAGCCCCCTCCCCAGAGCCGCATCACAGGCAGGGTGCTGCAGTGTTTGCAGGGCTCTGCAGTTAATGAGATGCCGTTTTCTGGCAGGGGGAGCGTGGCCGTGAGAGATGCGCAGTCAGAAGGACCCAGGGGGACCCTGCGGAGCCGGCGGCGGGCCCTGCTCAGCGCCCCCCGCCGCGGCAGGCGGTCCGAGCCGAACAGGAGCCAGGGGACAAAGGAGCAGGAGTGTGCGCAGCGTGTGCCTGACTCTGTGTGTGCGTGTGTGTGTGTCTGTGCGTGTGTGTGCATGTGTGTGTGTGTGTCTGTGCGTGTCTGTGTGTGTGTGTGCCTGAGAGACTGTGTGTGTGTGTGAGTGTGTATGTCTGTGTGCCTGAGAGTGTGTCTGTGTGTGTGTGTGTCTGTGTGCCTGAGAGTGTGTCTGTGTGTGTGTGTGTGTGTCTGTGTGCCTGAGTGCGTGTGTGTGTCTGTGTCTGTGTGCCTGAGAGTGTGTGTGTGTGTGTGTCTGTGTGTGCCTGAGCGTGTGCCTGAGCGTGTGCCTGAGCGTGTGTGTCTGTCTGTCTCTGTGTGTGTGTCTGCCTGTCTGTGTCGAATGCTGGGCGCGTGCCCCGCAGCATGTGCACGTGCGCGTGTGCCCCTCAGCGTGCGCGGCCCGGCGGGCTCCGGGCGGGGGTGACAGGGCGCTGCCCGCGGTGACAAAGGCCCGCCGCTCTCCCCCATTCACAGCCCGCGGCCGGCGGGCGGCGCGGACGGGTTTTCTTTTTTTGTGAATGGAGGCGGTGACGTCGCCGGGCCCGCGCGCCGCCTCCCCTCCATTCATGCGGCCCCGGCGCGCGGCGGATGGGCGGGGCGGGGCGGGGCGGGGGCGCGCGCCGGCCGCCGCCGGGTAGTAAAGGCTGCGCGCGGCGCGCGCGGGGGTGCGCGAGCGGCGCGGGCGGCGGGCGCGGGGCCCGGCGGCGCTCGCTCCCTCCCTGCCCCCTCCCGCCATGGTGGCCACCGAGGGGCTGCGCGAGATGGAGGGCAGCGCGCTGCGCCGGCTCGTGGGCCGCGACGAGGCCGGGGCCGGCGGCGCCGCGCGGTGCCTGGTGCTGGACTGCCGCCCCTTCCTGGCGCACAGCGCCGGGCACATCCGCGGGGCGCTCAACGTGCGCTGCAACACGATCGTGCGGCGGCGGGCCAAGGGCGCCGTGAGCCTGGAGCAGATCCTGCCGGCCGAGGGCGAGGTGCGGGCGCGGCTGCGGGCCGGGCTCTACGCCGCCGTCGTGGTGTACGACGAGCGCAGCCCGCGCGCCGAGGCCCTGCGCGAGGACAGCACCGTGGCGCTCGTGGTGCGCGCGCTCCGTCGCGACACGGCGCGCGCCGACATCCGCCTCCTGGCAGGTACCGGCGGGCGGGGACACCGGGAACCAGGGGGGGACACCGGGAACCAGGGGGGGAACCGGCCGCAGACGGCTGCCCCCGCCCGGGAATGGGGCTCCGGGCTCGCCGCGCCCCGGGCAGGGCGCTGCCTTCTCCCGCCCCCGGCCGTCCGTCCTGCCCAAGTTGGGAGCCGGCGGGAGCGCCGGGGGCCGCACGCACCGGGGCGCGCCGCCCGGAGCTGGGGTACGGGACGGTGGCAGCGCGGCCATCAGCCCCGAGCGGGGGTGCCCGGGCGGTCTGAGCCGGCTCAGGGGCATCGATTGGGCGCCGTGGCCCTGCCCGGGACCTGAGGGAAGTGAGTGTGTGGGGGGAATCCCCGCACGCTTTGTTCGAGTCCATCCCCAGCCCCACGGAGGTGCGGAGGAGGTATTTGTGCAGAGTCAAATACCGGCTGTCACGGAGATGTCCCCTTGCAGCGGGCAGAAAACCCGGGGATGCCTCTGTGCTCCCTTTACGACTACAGCAGGGATCAGGGCTTCCCTCCTCTGCCGTGTGTTAAATGGGAAGCTGTGCACATTTGGAGCTGCTGGTCCTGAGAATTGAGATGATTTAGGGGCGGGGGATGCTCAGCTGGGGTTCCTGGATGAGCTCTGTGGGGCTTTTTCTTTTTTGTTTACAGCCTGAGAGTCAATTTATTCCTTGGCTTACTTACAGCAGGGGTGAGGATGTGTATGCAGAGTAGCAAATACATTAAAAGGCTTGATAGATGGAGGAACTAGCACTTCAGTTGTACTAGATACAGTAAAAGCAGCAGGAGCTGTTCCCGGGATGCGATACGATGTGTTTGCTGCTGCGGGAGTGCCTGCACAGCAAGGGCTCGCTCAGGAGCAGGCTCCTTCACCGTGAGCCAGCGTGGGGCTGGAGCCACGCATGTGGCAGGAAACGCTGCTCTGCTTCAAGGGTGGCCTTTGTCAGCTGAGAGCTTCTGGTGCCTCTGTGGTTCTCGTGGGAGGTTGGTTGGAATGGGAGCCCTTTTAAGGAACGGGCTCCGAGAGACTCAGTCTCAGCACTACAGTCTTTTTCTTGTGTTCCACAGAGCCACTAAAATGATCGTGCTCTGATTCCACGAGAGCTACACTAACCTGGAGCTGTGCATGCCCAAGTGCACATTTGTCAGGTGCAGGTCACAATGAAGATCCTGAAGTGTTTTCTGCAGGTCAGGCTGCTGCCAGGTTCCCTGTGAAACAGCCTGGCTGGGGGTTGCTTGGCCATGGGCACCTGCTCTGCCTGGCTCCTACACCGGGCAGAGCTGGTATGAACAGCCAGGAGCTGCTGGATCAATGAATCTGATGAGATTCATTGAAGAGAAGCATTTGAAATGGTCTCTTTTTCTTTCCAAGAAGCATTCTTTCCAAGATGTTTCTGCCCATCACCCTGGGCAGCTTTTCCCTCTCATGGTGCGATGACCACTGGAGTGCAATGTGGTAGAGCCAGGGATTTTAGGACCAGATCCCTGGAAGTTGTCTAACAAAGGCTCTTGGTTTTGGATGCTCTTTCAAATTGAAGCAGTAGGACTGTAAAGGGATGTCAGGCCAGGGAAATGAAGCCTCTGCAAACTGTCCTGGCTGCGTGGGAGGGACAATGCGAATGCAGTGATAAATCTACTTTAAGGTACTAGAGCCCTTCCTTTTGTAGGGGGAGGAAACCACAAAGGACGCTGGGATGCTGGCAGTGGGGGGCTCTAGCTGCCTAGGGATTCCTGGGCTGCTTGAGACACTTGCATCCATTGTTTTGAATATCCAGCCTTGTTCAGGGCAGTCTTGGAGCTAAGGCTGGATAAGAAGGATGTGTCCTGCTGTATGCTCTGGTAAGCTGAAATCTGCAGGCATAGGTCCTGCAGTTGGTTTGAGTCTTCAGGAACCATCCTGAGAGTCAGACCTTGAGCCAGCTGGAGTCTCCTGTGGTGACAGTAAAGTACTTGATTTTCATTGATGTCGAGGCTCAAAGTCAGACCCTTCAAGGATGTCAGGGTTGTTAACTTGATTTGAATGAGAGAAGGAAATGTCACCAGAAGTGTTTATTGGCAGGCCAACACTGCAGTTTCCCTGTCCTGGGAACTCAGGATTTGCTCTTGTTTTGACTGGCATGACAAAGCCCTGACATCCCCTGTGCTTATCCCCCTGGCAGCAGGGCAGAGGAACAAGCTGCTCCACGTTCAGTTTGCACCTGTGTCCTTGGGAAGCAGCAGACACCTCTCTCAGAGGGCAGCTTGGCTATACCTGGCCAGAGCCAGGGCTTTCCTGGTCTGTTGTTTTGGGACCTCTGAGCTGGAGGGTCAAGCTGGGAATGTGAGACCTGCCTGTCTTTTGTGGCAAAATAATGTGTCAAGGGAAAATGAGAACTGAACAGTCTTTGGCCTCGGAGCAGCTTTTCCCATTAAAGTCTGAGTATGCTGGAAATAAATCCTCTCTCCATTGTCTGAGAGAGCAACTTTGGCCTCAGTCTGGAGTTTTGGCTGGCAGTATGCAGGGGACGGAACCCTGGAGCAGGGACTTTGGGTGGCCAAGATCATTGCTCCTGGTGCTCTTGCTCCAAGGGAATGGTGGGGCCTCAGGGATTCCCCCCTTGCTGCCGAGAGCCCGACTGCTCCTCCTGGGGCAGGGACCACTCTCCATCGCTGTAGCATCATCTAGTGGCCAAGGGCATCTCCGGCTGTGCGTTCTGCAGTCCTGTGAATGCGGTCTGGGATAACACTTTGTGCCTCTCCTCTTGCAGGGGGCTATGAGCGCTTCTCCTCGGAGTACCCCGAATTCTGTGCAAAAACCAAGTCCCTGAGCAATGTGTCACCCCCCACCAGCGCTGAGCCCCTGGATCTGGGCTGCAGTTCCTGTGGGACCCCCTTCCATGACCAGGTATGTCTAAAAGCCCAGTGCTCAGCTATCTTGACTGCCCTTCCAGCATTGCAACCTGCTCCAGTGGGAGTCTCTCTGCTCTCCCTCAGCTGGGGCTTGCGGAGCCAGAGCCCTGCTTCCTTTCCTCTCATGGGAAAGCATGGTGGTCCTCCTAAGCCCTGGGTGTTTGTGTGCCCCACAGGGTGGATAAACCCACATCCTGTTAACCACACCTGCCTGTTTCTGAACAGGACAGAGAGAAGGAGATGAAGGGCTGAAACAGGTTTAGCGCCTGAGGAAGGCAGCCTCTGTTCCCTCTTCTGAGGGCCCTGGATCAGGTGCCAGGTTGCTGTGCAGCTCCATGTTTCCAAGCCATCTGGATGTGTGTCCTGCCTCCCACATCCCCTGGCCAACCAGTTCTTTTCCTCTGTCACAGGGTGGGCCTGTGGAGATCCTTCCCTTCCTCTACCTTGGCAGCGCCTACCACGCAGCCCGGCGGGACATGCTCGATGCGCTGGGCATCACAGCCCTGCTGAACGTCTCCTCAGACTGCCCCAACCACTTCGAGGGGCACTACCAGTACAAGTGCATCCCTGTGGAGGATAACCACAAAGCTGACATCAGCTCCTGGTTCATGGAGGCAATTGAGTTCATTGGTGAGTGCCTGTGCAGAGATGTTGTGTCCATTGGTGGCACCGGTGGGAGGGAGGTCAGCCTCTACCTGCAGGTTTGGTGAGGGGCTGGGCCACAGTGGCAGGGTATGGTCTCACGTCTCACCCCTGTTGCCCTCCAGACTCAGTGAAGGAGTGCTGTGGTCGTGTCCTGGTGCACTGCCAGGCTGGCATCTCGCGCTCGGCCACCATCTGCTTGGCGTACCTGATGATGAAGAAGCGTGTCAAGCTAGAGGAGGCCTTCGAGTTTGTCAAGCAGCGCCGGAGCATCATCTCCCCCAACTTCAGCTTCATGGGGCAGCTGCTGCAGTTCGAGTCGCAGGTGTTGGCCACTTCGTACGCGGTGGAGGCCGTCAGCCCCTCGGGGACGCTGCGGGAGCGGGGCAAGGCCACCTCCACCCCCACCTCGCAGTTTGTCTTCAGCTTCCCGGTGTCTGTCGGTGTCCATGCCACCCCCAGCAGCCTGCCCTACCTGCACAGCCCCATCACCACGTCGCCCAGCTGTTAGCTCAGGGCCAGGCCAGCCGGGCAGGCAGTGCCGGGCGTGCAGGGGTGCCGAGCCCTGTGATGTTAAGCAATAGTGCCGGACGCTGCCCTTCACCCTGGACTCGCCATCTTTTTCGTAGAGAAATTTCTTACCTCATCTTGGTTTGTTTGCTTTTTATTGTTATGTTTTAAAAGCACGAAGTTGTAAAAGCCACAAACCTTGACACTGTCCAGGCGCTTTGGGGGAGGAACAAAATGGTATACTGGGTTTCCTCAAGTGCCTGGTCTTCACATGTTTCCATCCCTATTTTACTGTCTTGTTTTTTTTACACCTCCTCTTCTCCCCATGTTTCTGGCCCCAACTCATCTAGGTTGACAAGGGAGTATTCCCTGTTTTTATTGTGCAGCAGCCTTCCCTCTTGCAGAGACACCTTTGTGTGTGTGGTGGGTGCTGCTTACCTGAGCCAGGTACACTTTGGACAAGCAGAGCTGCAGGCAGGGCCTTGGGGTGAGCAGGAGGGGTGGCACAGGGCTGCCTGCATTCAACCTCAGCCCTGCCAGTGGCTGGGGAGATGAGGCAGGAGCTGGCAGGCACCTGCCAAATCACCAGCTGAGCCTATTCCAGGGGGAGAGCAATCTTTGTGGTTGGGAAGTGGTTTGGAGGGAGAGATGTAGTCTGAAATGCCTCTTTTCTTGCCTCTGTGGATCACTGGTTTCTAGAAAACTTAGGTCCAATCTCCTGTGGCTTTAAGATGAGAAAGAAGAGTTTGGGGCAGCAGTCTGGGCTGCTTTTGATTACTTGGTTCAGTTTCCTCTCCACCGGTCCCACTGCTGCTTCTTCCAAAAGAAGCAGGAAGGGACATGGGTGGGCTATAATGGAAAAGAGAAGCTGTGGGGTGGAGGACAGGCTGGCCCAGAGGTGTCATTCATCCAGCATTTTCAAGCTTCCCCCACCTCATGACCAGCCCTTTTCCTGTGCTGAGTCTTGTTCACCTGTGCAACATTTCTGCAGCTTTTGGCCCAAGCCTTGAAAATGCCTCATCTTCAACCCACCTGGAGCCTTATTTCCCACCCTACCTCTGTCCTTCCCTCCAGCCCAGTCCAACACACAAGATGCCTGTGTGGCTGATGTACATATGTATGGTTTTGTTCCTTTTTTTTTTCTAGAAATTAACTTTTTATTTATTGCCTGAGGGAGGGAGAAAACATTGTTTGGAGAAAATAAAAATAAAACTGTTTTCAACAGTTTGGCTGGAGCAAATTTGTCCTAAAACCAAGACAGAGCAGCAGGTTCTGCACACATTCCATTTTCACAGAGAAACTGTTAAAAATGTATTTATTGACTTTTAAACTATTACAAGTATTGCAGATCAGACATTTAGCCAAGCACACTTATAGATCAAACTCAGTTGTTACAGAGATGTTACCTAAAGTCCACCATGTAGGTAGGCTGAGAAACTGCCCATCGTCTTCAACTTTGAGAGAGAAGGTAAAAGAAGAAATAAATAAATGATATCCCAGCTCCAGGTAATTGGCAACCAAGAGAGGACAAATACAGGACTAGTTATGAAAACAAGTTACACAAAAAAGATCTAGAAATTCAACCCCCAGCTACATTGCCATCTGGCTTGCCACAGAAAGCAATTAGGAATGACAAAGCACAAGCTCATGGGACCGCAGCACAGAAAATCCCCATTTCAATTTCCAAAGCTGAAGCAAGTTCTGCAGATGTTAAGAAAGTGTCAAAATTATCTTGTAATAACAGAGATTCTAATAATCTACATTAGTAATTAATGGGACCAGCACTAAAACTTGCCACCAACACATTCAGCAAGACCGATACATCAAAACTAGCCAGATAATGTGACTTGACAGGCATATGTGTCAGTGTAATGGAAATGCATCTGCTTCCCATGTCCCCTACAGATTCCCAGGCTCATCACCTTGCTTCAGAGATTTTAACACACATACAGTGTTCCCCAATCCCCTGGGTATCACATCTACTCTGTGTTGAGAGAGGTTGGAACACTGCTGCTCCCTCTCTGCACATCTGTCCTGCCACTCTTGGAAAGACCAGAAGAACACGCTCTGGGACTGTGCCAAGCCACCACCTCTGATCACCAATGGATTCAAGCCTGTGGAGGTTCACAAGCCAGTTGCTACATAAGACAAGAACTTAGGATGTGCTTTCCCAGGTCTTCCCTATGCAGGCTGCAGCATAGCTTACAATGCTGCACAAATATTCAGTTTAACATACCTGAAGCACACATTAGATGCACGTCCTCTTGGATTTCTGAGCTAGACTTTCTGTAGCAAAGCAGCATGGAAACAGAGAAATCCCACTGAAAATAAATTCACATATTTCCTGACATTCAGCTTCTGAGAACAATTAGCAATGTTCAAACTAATCTGTTTTGTGGCTGGACCCTTCCTTTTTACCCATCTTGAAAAATCCCGTTCAGGGCAATTTCTGTTAGCAGTCCCATATGGAAATTGCAGGCAGTGCATAAACTGTGCAGAAACGGATGCCATTGCAGGGATGCAGGAGGCTTTTTTGATTTGCCACTGTCTTAAGCAGCTCTCACAGGGCATGCAGTGGCACAACATGCTTGCATCCCTCAGCACCTCACACATCAGGGAGCAGAAACCTCCTCTAACCTAGAACGAACAGCAGGAGCAGCTGGTTTCCAGAACCAAGAAAGTGCCTTTCTCCAGGAGCTACTCCCTCCCATATGCTGCATCCCTTTTCTGTGTCTGCTGGCCACCACAGCCAACAGTGCAGAACATTTTGCAGGGTTTTCTCCCTGCTTCAGTGTAGAATTTTCTTCTGGGGTACTCCCATAACAAACAAGCAAAGTTTAAGTTTGCAGGCAAAATAAATTCCTGCTACATAATGCAGTGGGATTCAATTGCATATCATGCAAACACTTGAAACAGAGGTTAAAAAACCAATAGTGACTGCAACATGGTGGAACTAGTATAAGAGGTTTGTAACAGTCTCTATGGAGCTGGGATCAAACACAACTGGTAGATAAAAATAAGAATGAAAAAAGTAAATATACCTTATTAAGGTACTGTACTGTCTGCTTTTAATCCTAACAAAAGTTTTGTTGACAGCAATCAGAATGCAGTGTCACTCTGCACCAGGTATCTAAGTCATCAGTCTCATGGAAACAGTTTCAGCAATGGAGAGCAGAACCCTCCTTTGTTAGGTGGTGACTTTTCTTTCTGTTTCACCTATTACGGTTCTGTTGCGAAACTACACAGAAGTTTCAAAATGCTGCCTCAAAGGGACGCTGACAAAGATCAACAGGCCCTGAGAGACACACTGTCCCTGGTGCCAGCAGGTACCAAGTTCTGTCCCTGGTCTCCCAAGCCTATGAGGGCTTAGCCCAGTATTCTCAGGTCCTCAGCTCCTACTGTGCCTCCCACTGGTGACCCAATACTGCAAAATGAGCATCCCCATATCAGGGGACTGCTCTTCTCAGGAGGCCAAAAACTTCATTTCTCAGGAGGCAGCACCTGCCTGGTTATGGGGTCACAGTATTTATAAGGTCCCACTGTAGTCAACTCCCCCAGCTGAAGCAGCAGCGTCTGTACCGTTAACAGCCTGCCAAAAGCACCACAACCACCACCAGCGGGTAACTTTGGTATTGATGGGCAGATCCTCACTTTGTTTTGAACTGTAAGAGCACCTATGACAACATATGCTACTCCTGCATAGGTGTCTGCAACACACAGATGCATCATCAGGCCTGGGTACTCCTCTGTGTCTGGCCACAAACGGGTATGAGCTCACGCCATCACGAGACAAAAACCACTGCAAAATTATTTCCTCACACAGCACCTTTACTCTGCACAGAACATCAGAAACATTAACACTGGCAGTTCAAAGATACTGGAAAGTAGAATCACAGAATATGCTGAGTTGGAAGGGACCCATCAGGATGACTGAGTCTAACTCCTGGCTCTGCACAAGACAGCCCCAGGAGTCACACCATGTGCCTGAGAGTGTTGTCCAAAAGCTTCTCAAATTCTGTCAGGCTTGGTGCTAAGACCACTTCCCTGGAGTCCCTCTTGGTGAAAATCCTTTCTCCTAATACCCAGCCTAAATCTCCCTCCTAATCTCAGCTTCATGCTGTTTCCTCCAGTCTGGTTACTGGTTATGGGAGTGAAGATATTGGTACTTGCCCATCCACTTCCTCTCATGAGGATGTTGAAAACCCCAATAAGGTCTCCCCTCAGTCTCCTCCAGGCTATTTTTATCTTCTAGAAGTTTCAGGCTGAAAAAGGAATCCAGACTAGCCATTAGTTCAACCAGCACATAGGAAACAACAAGCAAGAACAGCATCCGGTGTGGGCTCGGTGGGGCTTTCCTTTTTAGATTTGTTCTTGTTTATGAAAGATGTAAAGTTTTAACTTTCACACCCACATTTACCATTTTTCTCACCTAAGCAGCACAGCTGTTTCACCATTTAAAACTATGTCTAACCAGGAATGGAGAGCAGCACTTGCTCTGGTCGCTATCTGAAACCCTAGAGCAGATAGGCACATCCCCTCAAGCCCTTATTAACTAAATGAAAAACAAACCCCAAACTTCAATGGTGAATACAAAGCTTCAAAGCCTAGTGGTGATCTTTGCAATCCTCTAACACTATGAAACGAGTAGCCAAAATACAAGCACCCAATTTTATCAATGAAACTTGTTTAAAAGGACAACTAGGCTAAAGCCTGGCTGGGACTTCAAAGCTACATATTTAATCAGGTCACAAAATGAAGCGAGAACCATATATCCACTGTCAGCTCAAGAAAAGTAAGAGTTCAAGTTCTGTTGGAGTATTGCTATTTCTAAGGTTTCCTTTAGAGATATTACAAAGAGATGATGTTCAGGTAGCCATATTGCATCAAATGACTGATTTTACAGTGGGTGATTACTGGTGATTACTTCCTGTGAGGATGACTTGCTTCAACATTAATGCCTTACCATTAAAAATAAAAGTGTTGTGTCTTAATGCTGAAAGTGAAATGCTCTTCAGGATTAAGTCTGTTTTATACAAACGTGTTAGCAAAATCCCACTTCTGGGGAGCACGTATATTTTTATGAACTAAGAGCACACTATTCTGTTGCTTTCTTGCTTTAAGGGGGATAAAACCTGAATGCATGAACTGGATCATCAGATAGTGCTGGTTGATAGGGTAATGTACCACATGTTGTGTCCAAAGGAACATTTTTTTTCCTCTAGATGTTACATGGTCAACACTGAAGCACATCTCCTGGTACTGGTTGTTAGGAAAAAAATTAACAAGTCTTGATCTTCAACCTTCTCTGAAACTGTAAAACACCACAAAAAAGAAACAGTTTCTACTTTTGTTAAATCCATATCCACCATGAGGGGGACTTTTGAAACTGTTTGATGCTGTGCTGTGCAATGCTTAAAAATAACTTTCTTCTACCCAGCAAAATAAACCTGGGAATTTGGGAAGAAGGATATTAAGTGAATAAATCCTAACTTTGTTCTCTGGTATAACTGCAAACAAATCTGCTTGCCAACTGATACTTTAAAATTTTGTTCTCATCAAAATGTAAAACTGATATTTAAAAAAATTATTACTTTTGTAAATCCCTTAAGCTCTTCAACTGTGATGTCACACACAAAGATGTGACAGGAAACTGCTGTAATAACTCTCCCTTACCAGCCCGAAACCCATTTACTGGGTCTCATCTTACAGAGGGACATGAACCAGATACACCCTTCTGTATGAAATCTTCTGACTTTTCACCTGCTTCTCCCAGCAAAACCATACCCTGCTGTAACTGGAGAACATTTCAAAAGCTGCATTGTACCTAACAGGAGCCTTATAAAATGTTCTTTTAGAGATGCCAGAAGAGGGCATGAAGTTCTTCTAAGCACAAGAGCTGATTCTACCCTTGCAAACACTTCCCAGGGCTTCCCCCAGAAAACTCACACAGACAAGGCAGCAAACTGACATCCTTTGTTTCCACTCCAAAGTTACACTCACTCATGTTATCGTTTGCTCAGAGGTGTGCAAAAAAACCTCTATATTGAATAACTTGACCTAGCCCCTCCTCAGATGAAATTTATATTGCATTGTTAATGATTTTAGTCGACTTGACTTTGTGCAAAATATTTTCAAGAAAGTTCTGGCTCAACTTCAGAATACAAAAGGAGAATAAATAGGATCTCTTGAAAACAGGAAATGAATGGTGTATGCTGAA